TGCTCAACAATTGCGTGCGAGGTAGAGTGACTAGTTGGGAAATGAAAGCAGGATGCAAACGGAGCAACTACTTCAGCGTAGTCTCAAGGATCGAGTTACAGCTGACGACACCGCCTTTCCTTCGTTACAACTGTCTCTAAAGCACAAATGCATGAATTAGCAAACACACGAAGAGAGCAAACAAAGCGAATCGGTCCGAATGGAGGAGACGCAACACTACCGTTACGGAACAGACTAGTCGCGCAGTCTGTTTTCGTCTCCCACCTCAGTGTAATTAACGCAGACGCTTTTGTGACAGTCAGTGCGGAGGGTGCATCCCCATTGGAGAGCACCATTGACAAAGCCCAAAACAACTCGATCCCATGCATGCGTGCAAGAATAACATTTGTGTGGGTTACCGACACTCTAGTGCATAGGCAATGGAGCTGTAAGGGCAGGGATGTAGTCACTGGTGTGGGAGTGTGGAGTGTTTGCCAAAAAGTGGAAAACTGGGTTATTGTAGTGGTCATGTCGAAGACACGCTGAAGTTATGAGAGAGATTGTGGTAAAGTTGACGTGAGGAGAGTCTGCAGACGAATTAAAGCGAATTGCTGGTTGAATGAGTGATTGGGTGATGAAATGTCCCTCCTCTTGATTAGACACCGTGAACAATTCACTCAGTCGTTGGTGTTGCACTCATTTCCCAACCACAATAATTACAGAGGCAAATGGTTCGTGTGTTTCTCCACCTGCTTCACCTTCCTCTCCCTCGCACATGCCTCCCAATCCGTAGACGCGTCTTTCCACCCAGTGGAGAAAGCAGAGGTGTAGTGCGAGGAAAAGCGGTGACTGTTTACGCAGTCGCATGTGTGCATGACAAATTGTTGTTTGTAAAGTGGATGTCGGTGATCCGTGTTGTTTCGTGGTGTTTGCTGAAATAAGTGGGAGCACTCATAACAGCATTGAACATGATGGGAACGTGTTGAGTCATAAGTGTGGGCGAAGGAGGAAGGTGAATGTGGACACAAATGAAGGAAGGTGTGAGGAAGATGGCCGAGTGAAGAACAGGAGGACTCGACCCAATATGACTTCGCTTGACATAGACTGACCTGATTTGACTTGAGATGGATTAACGTTAAATGAATAGAATGGAATGGATGGAATGGTATGAGTGAAATGGAATGGAAATGAGGAGACTTGCCTCTCCAGTATGAGCCACGTGGCAGACCAGACGAGTGTTGATGGGGAAGCGTGCATCCTCCACTCTGAAACAGTAACAAAAATAAACACCCACACTCACCCCCACACACACGCATACACATATTCACACACACCATTCATTCGCAGGCGAGTATTACGTGTGGAGGCATGTGTGCATCGGTTCGTTGGGTAAGCAACGACGTGCCGCCTTCCACTTCTACTGTGCGTAAACACGCACGCATACACACACCGTCAGTGTGGCCTGGTTTAATTGGTGTGTGTCTAGTCAACGCACCTTTCATCACAATAGACGTGTTAGCAATGAGGGCGATCGAGGGTTACTCGGAAATGCCACACGTAGAAGGGAGAATTGAGATGCTTTAAATCACGTGGCAACAATTGAAATCGTGTTGTGACATGAGATGAGGTGGGGTGAGATGAGGTGAGATGAAGTTAGGTGAAGAGAGGTGACTACGTGATCTCTTTAGTTATCCGTGTTGTAGAATCGGGACACTGGTTGCACTGGTAACAGCTAACTTGTCCATGTAGTCGACTAGTCGACTGACTCTCTTCTGCTACCGCTGGCCACCTATAACGCCGTGTGTAGTGGTGAGGTGTGTCCAAGTTGTAATGCAATAGAGGACAGACGAAGAAGTGGAAAATGCAGTAGGTAGTTCTTGGTTGATGTAGGCTAACTGTCACACCTGTCCACGAGTCAGCTTAGCACGTGGTAGGTGGAAGCTGAGAGGTGTGTACAAATGGAGAAGGGGACTGTGTCGTAAAGGAGAGGCGTTTGCACTCCTCAAGTGCCCACTCGTCTCACTGCTGGCCTCTATTACTTTCCACTTTAATGTATCAGTGGTGGTTTGGCTCAAAACCAACTGCATATCGCTTTGCAGTTTGGCATAAACGCCACTGAACTGGCTGTGCGGAGGTCAAACTAAGCTGTTGTAGGTGAAGGAGAAGCATTCTTTCGCAGTTAGTCGGCACAGAAGAAAGGCGTCTACTGTGAATGAGTGGTTTGGTGGAGCTACCGACCTTAGACAGCTACACTGCTCACCAGTAATGCAATGTAGTGAGACCCGCTTTGACGGACACGAGAAGCATACCCTGTTTAAAGGGCGAATTATCGTGTTTTATGGGGAGCTATTAGACCTTAACGCGATGGACGGAGGTCAACCGCTACCAGTGGCTCTATGTGCGGGAACGCAATATATGCATTCACTTATTTACCATCCATCGTGTTTTGATTTAGTTGCTGTTCATACAGAAGTCTGGACACACGAAAGGCTGAAAAATGGTAAAGTGAACCGTTGCTATGCGAATCAAATTTTACCCATTTCGAAGGACTTTTGATTCCCCGACCTTTTTAATAGGTATGGGTTATGTTTCCTCTTGACGGCATGGCTAACGGCTCTGCCCGTGGTCTTTTTTTGTCTTTTAGGAGGGTTTCACCCTGATGTAATGGATAAGTAACTACAATTAGTGTGTTTTGCATCAAAAGTGTTAAACTCTGCCTTTCGTTTCGAAGTCGCCATTTCGCATTACCCCATCGGTTATGAGGTGAACAAATTAAGTAAGCAATAAATGAATTGGTGGGTGAAATGGATCAGAAGACACCAAAAGAAACGTACCTATGTCCTCTTTTTAGTATCTCATCAAAATCCAACTCTCTGTCCTTCCAAGTGTAGTCATAGGCCGCTCCAAACACATCCGTATCAGGCTACAAAAGCATGAAAAATACGGAAAAAGTTTTTCACACTAGGCTCGGCTGCCAGCACTGTTCGAGAATTGTTGTGAATTGGAACTAGCGAAAGTGTCGAAGAAGAGGCTTTAAACAAGGTAGGGTCTATAAAACAGGCAGACTGACACGAGGAGCTTTTGGATCACCGCTACTACACAATGAGGCTGCATTCAAATGTACGGGTCCTTAAATATCATTCTTAATACCTCAAACTCCGCAGTGTTTACGAGTTTGACGGAAAAAAAAGTACTAAAACGTCAAGAGAGAGAACATTTGCTATGGATGAGGAAAATTGTAGAGATTTGTAAATCTTACAAAAGTAGTAATTGAGGACCAATAAAATTCTTCTGTCCAAAATTTCGTTAGCCAATCACTTTAAGGTGTAAATGCAAGATGCAAATTCAGCGGATAGGCAAGGTATCACAATGTAAGAAGGCCAAAACCGAATAAAATTGTTATCTTTCCTAACATTACCCCACTTTGCTTCATTAGCATACCAAGTTCACCTAATTCAATTGACACTGTAATCGTCCTTAACTTTGAGGAGAAAAACTGAGAAATAAAAATGAAAGTCACTGATTATGCAGAGAAAGTGGTAATTCGCAGAGGGTTTTGAATAATGTTGGTAGTCAAATGCTACTTATAGCCTTATCAGTAGCATTATCTTGTTAGTGGTACGAGCAGAATGACGTGACCTTAATGTGATTCGCTATCAAGTCTTGACCTTCTTGGGGTTATTGGGGAAATTAGAGGCAAATGCAAAAGTGCAGATGCATTTGGGGACATAAAATCAAGAATCACATGCGGCATCAATTATGTTTAAGCACTGCAGGAGGGGACAAAATCTGTGGAAACCTGTGCTTTTTGAGAGAAGTAATTTGGATAAAGCAGTGGGAGAATGCTTCTTGTTTCTTGTTCTTCAGCTTTTGCTACATAAATAGATTAATGGGGCATTACATTAGTAACAGCGCAGATGGATACGATAGGGGTATTCAAATCCGAGTTGGAAAAAATTACGGCAACTTTATTTAATGATCCATGCATTTGGAGCATGGGATCTGTGATGACCCACCATCGAAGGGACGTTATTGGATACACTGACTTAATAGTCGCAGTGATGCGTAAGAGAAGAGGATGAGAATTGAGGGAAAAGGGGGTCGAAAATGCATGATAGGAAATTACAGGTCAAATATCACATCCACTTAAAGTGTTCCGAATTAGAAATTACATCAACGGATCACTTTGCAGTAGACTCACCATATCATCCTTGAGGTCGTTAACTAAAAGTATTTGGCAGCGTTGGCAAGTAAGTAAGGATTGGCTGTGCATAAGAATTGAATAAATCAAGCGACTAATATCTGACTGGTCTGAGAATATGAGACGCGCCAGTTCCAGGAGGACCTAATAAGGAAACAGGATAAGAGCACTTTAAGCCCTGTTAGATTTATAAGGACATGATAAGAAAGAAAGTGAGATATGGCGGAAAAAACGAATAACTGGTTCATACGTTAGCTGCTCGCATGATTTTAAAAGTAAGGGCTTACTTTCAAAAAGGGTACTTTTATCTTACATCCCCGCCATAAAGCGGAATGCTATCATGTTGGTAAATCCCAATGCAGTAATAAATGAAAAGGGTTTCCTGCTAGTAGTTATTTTTTTGGCTTGGGTAAAATGTTGTGGACCAGTTCACTTCAATTCGATTCGGTCTAAACATCGCTTTCCAAGATGACAGGTGACATTCTCGATGACCGTGCCCGTGCGTCCGTGTGTGCGTAGGTCGGTACGGGTGGAGGAATGAATGTATCCATGCTGTAGTGTGTGACGATGGAATGGGCTTTTTTTCTCCATTAAAATGCACAATTTCAACTTAATAGAAAGCAGGGAACTTGAAAGCTGAAGTGTATCTAATCCACACCAAGTGCTCAGTAAAGGTAGCCCATTCGTAGGGTGATTTCGAAGAGGGTGAAGAAGAAAAGAAAGGAGGAATAAGGCTAGGGATAAAAAAGAGAATGAAAAAGGGAGAGGAGGTGGAGGAAGAGAGGGAAAAGGAAGGAAGAAATGAGACGATGGTGAAGAAGAACCAATTCTCCGCATCACTTCTCGAATGAGTGACATGTGTTATTTACCCTTCTTTTCTACTACAAGGTCGAGTGATTTCAAAACCTCTTTTCTTTAATCCATAGGTCAATGTCACCATTTCTTTCAGCACTTTTATTTGACACCGCATGGCCTTTTAAGTCCCACAAGCTCCCATCGCCATAAAACCGCCCAAGTTTTTAATCTCTAGAAGGATTAAAGCTATTTTTGAACTGACATGACCCAAAATATCGTTCAAACTGATTAAATTGTTATAAAATGAGGGTAAAACGAGTGCTGTGACGATTTCCACATTGCAGGAACATTATTGTAACAGGAACACAGCAACCTTGACGGCAAGAGAAAAATTTCCGCAGGACTTTGTTTTTTCTCAAATAAATACACAAAAAAAGTTACACGTATATTTCAGCCTATTTTCTTACCTCCTAACAATAACGACAAAGCAAGGCGAGGTGTTCAAAGGAACATTTCAACCCAATTGTTTGGCAGACAAGGTGATGGTGCGATAAAATTTATGGATCTATTTCCTTATTCCCCATGGTTATTGTTGCGGCCGAGGGACGTACGAAGCACAGAAGGGGCAGTGCGTTGTTCCGTATTGTTTAATGGGATTTTAAAGTTCCTACCGACAACCACATAAAATTTCTCCGTCCACCCAGTAAAACTCATGCATCCATTTTCACTCCAAAGTGGCAGTTATGGAGTCAACTTTTGATGACACCCCAACATACTAAGCAGGCAATTACGCGTAAGGCGTGCTGGAACACAGGCAAGTTCTAAATAGAATGGAAAATTTTCAGCAATTTTGTTTCAAAAGAACCTTCGCTACTTATTCCTATCCTGACGCAGAAATAAGTAGTATGTCAATTTCGCAATAATTAAAGGGAGATTTCAGGGGCTTAAGAACCACTTGTATACCAACAGACGCAGAAGATGGGGTTCGAAGTGGGTTGGTTTGGAAGGAGGCGCATTAAACTGCAGGAAGACAATGACATTAATGCTGCTAGTGAAAGAGGGTTGTAAATTTTTAACTATGAAAAAATCCGAAGTCATAAACAGACCAGACTACTCGCTTTCAATCTTTTCTGCTCATTCACTGCTTCAAGAGCTTGCTTATTCTCTATTTATTTTAAAGGACACAAAAAGGTTGTTTATTAGACGGGGGAGCAAGTTCCGCACCATTTGCCCTGGTGATGATTCTTCCTGAACTTTTGTGACATGCGTCCTCTTCAACAGTCCACCTTCGTACCCCTTTAAAAGGTCTAATTCGGGTACCAAGGAAGTGGCTAGCTGCACATTTGTGCTACTTTTCTAACCTCGATGAGCCCTTAACAAATAGCAAAAAAGTTGACCTACAAAGTAGGCTTACCTGACTACGACGTGTTTCCAGTTGACTCCGGAAGAGGATTTGTGCATGATGCAGGCCAATACCACAGAAGTTGGTGTAGGCCTCAAATAGGTTAACATCACGGGTGGAGAACACGAGAGAAGTGTGGCCTCCATCCACTTGCTTTTGTTGTTTCTTATTCATGACTTGAGCTACAGCTAGCACATTGCCCTCACCATCCTTTACTGGCATACAGATGAGACAGCGTGTATGGAATCCCGTTTTTAAGTCCACCTCTCGATTGAAGCGGGGATCCTGTAACAACAGCGCGAGAGTGGAATGAAGCCTAACACTTGTGTGGCTCCAAAGTTACTTCCGCAAAGAAAAAAATTGAGGGCTGCCAGTGTCATAGAGATGGAAAACAACGCACCACGCATGCAACTCACGTGAGTTTTGGCAATACGCACAACAAAAGAGCTTAATTTTGTAACACAATCCATTAGGTAAGTCTCTATCGAATTTTCTACGCTTTACATGCATGTATTGGAAGTATAAGGACCTGACTTTGGCGCTTAGTAATCGCACACAGAGGAGGAAAAGGAAGCAAGGAAGGGAGAAAAAGGGCTCGTCGCGGCCTAGTTAAAAAGATTCTATGAGCGTAGTTTTATAAGCCAGTTTTGACGGACGTAATTATGGCCCACGCATAAGTAGACAAGAGGTCGTAAATTAACATCTAAGGAGAAATGTCTCGGTAAGCACTAACTTTGGCAGTGCAATTAAAAAAAAGTAGGAATCCGAGGAGTGAGTGAGTGACTTAAAAAGCGCGATAAACATCCGTCCCATTTGTCAAAAATGACAGACCATGCTTCTCCACGAACCAATCATTTTCCAGGAGGCAATTATTGTCACTAATTTCTAATGACATTTGCTCACTCTACAAGCAGGAGGATGTGTTCCTTTTTTGGTCTTGAACGGGAAAAATGGCAGGTTTGGCCAGTACTGTTTACCGTTTCGACGATGTCGTGGCCTTGAACAATAGCCAATGCAACCTTCGAGATGTGACGTCAAACCCCATTTATGGGTAGCGATCGTTAGTGGCTTAAATACACCAAAAAACTATTCCTTTTACTTGGAAAAAGGAATGCGCCTCTTGTGGGCGAAAGAGGGAGTAAAACTAGCACTATTCGGGGGGGAGTAGTATAAAAAAGCCACTAGAAACAATCACTACCCATTAAAAGTACGATATTTTATAAAGTCCGCTTTAAAATGCACTTATATGGCAGAAGTGGAGGAATTACGGACAACCATAAGTTAGGTGGATTACATACTTCTACATTTATCAAATTCCAAATTTCCCAAAGCCGTTTTAACACTGGGACCATGAACTACGGAGCTAGACATAATTTCATCATTGTTTCATTTTAATATGTTTATGAAAAAAGTGCCAATTTAGATATAGTGGAATAATTCCAAAATTCTAAACTTACTTCGTAAACATTTGAGATATTTACGGCTTCGCCTGTCTGTGCTACCCAACCAACAATTCCAACACCAAAAGGTAGAGAGATGGTTTTTGACTCAGATTTATGAAGAGCTTCAGCTAGTGTGCATTTTGCGGTCACATCAAACAATCTGCTGACGAGGAATCGGTCGCCTGTTGAAGAATTTACTTCCACTATAAATAAAGAGGCTCGATCAGCATTCAAAAGAAGACAAGCGTTTCTTAGGATTTTGAAACAAAGAGACGACAAATCCGAATCGCTCCAGATATCCAAGACTAGTTCTTTCATAACTTTATTGGAGTAAAATTCCTTAAAGCTATCAGAGAGGGCCTTTAGTCCCTCAGGTTTTTCTTCCTGATCGCAACTGATGTTCGAGGGCAAACCAGACGTTTCAGTTGACACTGTTTTGGATGGCATCTGATTCATGCACTCGTTCCTAGAAGAAGCACAACCAATCGACATAGATGCAAGAAATGACTGACATCCATCATTTCCAGTCGCTAATATTGGATGAAATGCCAGTGGCTCGAATTCACTACTGCTAATCTTGCGAATCGGCATTTCTTCATTTTTTGATTGGGATGCAACAAGTGAATTCATCCGTGAGAAGGCGTACTGGGAAGGGTACAAACTCTTTGATTTTTTAAAAGCTGAGGCGCGAAGTAAATCCTCAACGACACTTTGGGAAGCATGTGAGTAAATATAATTTCGAAGCGTATTTGTATTATCATCTAACCAGGCAAAAAAAGCATCCTCAGTATTTTCAAAATTTTCGAATGCTTTTGGTCTGCAAAAGGGGCAGTTCCCACCCGTATCACCATCAGACATGTCCGAGTACTCCATCTATCACGAGTGCAAATGCGGAGGGCACATCTTCGTACAGGTGTGATACTTTACCAAGGACGAAATTTATCAATATAAACAAGCTCATAAGGAAAGCAAAATGGAATGTTCCCTTACATATAGTAAATAAATACTTTGATTAGCAGAGTCCAAAAACACTGATAAAAATTTGTGGTGCTAAAATAGAAGCAATGATGTTTCTAGTATGGTCACAGTCAATTTCGAGGCAGATAAGCATCACAAGTAGAGCAGAAATCTAAGATGCGTGCATACTAGCACAGTAGGAAAATGAGTTTTATCAAAAGCAGTTTAGCTTGGTATAATATGGCCAACCAAGCACTTGTTTTCTTTTCGTAATGACCAGTAATCTAATAGCTTTCCACCCTGTTTTTTGTGCTTTTTAAGTACCCTTCTTAACAAAAATATAAACAGAATGACAAAATGCATAGGTGGAATCACAATTAATTCACAGTTAATATTTTTTGTTAATAATTCTATGAGAGCCACGGGATAGGGACAATTTACGCCTTACTTCTCGTTCTAAATGAAGTTTTGCAACACTTCTATACACAAACTTTAACGTCATATATAAGGGTACTTTAGATTGTCAAAGACCAGTTTAAGAACCTTTGTTAGTCTTACTTCAGAACTGAGTCAGATACTCCCGCTTATCCATGCTGATCAAAAGCAAAAGTTGACCCACGCCTGGATACCGTGGAGCAACGGTGAGCAGCATAAAGTTCTAGCACTGTGAGGGGAATTAATCCTCTAAGAAATGTGCAGATATTTGGAATTATGTGGCATTGCAGTGGGGTGTTCGCGGATGCTCTAAAGGTAATTTTTGCGATGATCAACCAGACTTTAATGAATATTTTGAAGCATAATTTTGTCATAGTGCAAGAATAGGCGTTGGTTTTACGATTATTAATTTCTATGCATTATTGGCTCAGGTCTATTTGAATTGCTATTTTTTTTTTACTTCCAGTGTAGGTTTACGACCATGTCCTAGTTTAGTTCTGCGTCGAGTGAATTGCGGAGAAATTGTTACAAGTTCGAGCTCCTCGTTTGATACACAAATTGGATTATGATTTGCAGCGTTTGTGTTCCTAAAGTCTTCATTGATCACCGAAAGTTTCTAAATAGATTCTACAAACTTTGGAAAATAATGATCATAAAGATAATAACCCAATTTCCTCAAGCATTTTTTCACAGCGTCACAAAAAAACATTTTACTTGAGACTCCAAGAGGATCGCCAAAGTGCACATGAAAAGTGAGATTTATCTCCCCTTCAGTGTTCACAATCACAAGCTCAGTCAGGCAGAGCCTAATTTTAACCGCTAGATCAGCGATAACGCAAGGGCGGGTGAGGTTTTAATGTGGCCTTTGATATCAGTTGCTGGAATGGGAGCCAGCCTATGGCCTGGAGGGGCTAAATTACCCAATGGACCAATCATCTTGACACCACAAATGACTGCCAATCACAGGCAAGCTACTACTGGGACGGACAATCTAGAAATCTCATGCTCACTTTTTTAACAGACAAAGGCCAGCTTTAAAGCGACTGCTAGGTGAGCTTTACGCAGCTTTGCATTTCTCATTCTACTATGTTGTAGATAAAGGGACACAATGTTTGCATTATTACGGGCCCCAGGAGGTGTGCGAACTCGAGAGGCAAAAATTTCGACCAGTAGAATTCACCTGAGAACAATTTATCCCCTAGAGAAAGCTGCGCACACAAAGAATTTAAAATGCATAGGAGATGTGAAGGCGGTTCCGATGTTGTTTCGAGACGGGTCCACAATAGTCTCAATTAAGCAACGACTTCTGGCTCAAGGAATGGTGATTGATTCGCCCTTACCATTCAGATCAAGGAAGTCCCGATTTGTAGCACTCGTAAGACAAAAGAGAGTCATGTGCAACATCTGGAATGATGAAAAAGTGCTCAGTTTATTCTTCCAAAAACTACGCCCAAAGGATGTGCTTACCTGTGCCATGGTCTGTAAAAAGTGGCGACAAATTCTAATTCCAGAATATACACAAAATTTGCAGCTAGTGATCAATTTTAAACGATATAAAGAACAAAAAGTGGCACCAATAGAGGAACAACTTCGAATGGCTTATAGGTGGAAGATGACTGCAATCTCGTTGGTTCACATGCGAGATGATCATATCTGCTCTTTCATTGGTGCATACTACACAACTTTCAGAGAATTCTTTCCCGGATGCCCGATCGCATTACCAGAGATTACGGATGGTTCGATTAAATCTGTTCCCAATCTGCTCTCGCGGTCTCCGACTCAACATTCCTCGTGTGCAGACAGCCTGGAAGGTGGTAACCTTCGACGCCTAGGTAGTGCACCAATCGAAGTGCCCATGAAGGCATCACGTCACATCACTCAACTCAACGTTGACAACTGTTGCCTAGGCGACTTGGCTCTGGAACAGATACTAAATGTGATGCATACAGTAACAAATTTATCCATTTTAAGCTGCAATTGCCTTTCTGATATGGCCCTCTGGTCGTGTCTTCGACCATGGATGACGCATATCACCCTGAAAGACTGTTTGAATTTCAAAGATGATACTCTTCAGGCCATTGTTCAGACTGCTCCAGGGCTACAAGAACTGAACCTCCAGGTGAGCGTCATTTGAATTCGCTTAAATCAAATTGCAGTAGTGTCGCGTGGTCTCACCTGAGTTACTCCTGTGGAAGTTTACAGGGTCTATGTTTCTCGAAGAGTAGGTATTTGTTATGGATTTTGATAGATTGGGTGGTTCTTAGGCGTATACACGAAGAGGGAACATTCGATTTCACTTGGAGCTGCCTTCTCATAAAATTCCAATTTATTTGCCACCCATAAAGAGATTTAATGGTGATTATATCTTGCGTGCCGAAAGTTCTAGTTAGGTTTACTAGTACTTTAATCACTCTTAGATATACCACCTCTCCGATGTTGCAATGGGCGCGTTTATGTCACGTCGTCACTTCAATCTACGAGTCCTTCGTCTCAACTACGGTTCTGATATAACCTTTTTGGGAGTGGCGAATTTAGTTGACTCTTTGCCGGGTCTACAGGAGCTACGACTGATTGGCTGTTCGCGAATTGATGATGCCGCCGTTGATCTCATTTGTGAGCATATGCGCTACCTTCAGGTATTGGAAATTTCGACCAATCCAATAATTACTGACGCCGCCCTCGCCACCATTGGTGAATCACTGGAACAGCTGGAGCAACTCTCATTGGATAGGTAACAGACCAATCATATTTTTACAGTACCAATACACAAGCTAATCCGCCTCCCTACTGAAGGGAGAATGGCGTCTAGTTTGACATTTAATTAAACCTAACGTTTTTCCCAGCTTTATGTGTTCGGAAATAATGCTTTCAAACACATGTAAATTAATGTTGAAGTTCCACAGACTTGTAGACGATTGGAAAGTTTTATAGCAGCATACGGATGTGTCATATAAACCCGTTCTTGCATTTAAAAGTATTTAGGAATAACTGAATTCGAGGGAAAAACAACGCCATAGATTATCTTTTTTAATGAGGTCATTTGCGAATTTTTGGAACAATATCTACGAGAAAGGTTCTTTAACTAAAAGCGATAATAATTTACTCAATTTCAATACTGCTTTAAAGATTGCGTTGTAGCCATTGAGCCGATAAACCGGGCCAAAATGAAAGATTTATTACTAATATTAGAAAAAGCTGGAGGGCTTCCACGACGGGATTATAAACTGTTAAATAAACAGTGAAATAAATACCTTACTAACATAATGTGACCGCGCCTAGGTTTGCGTAAAATTCATTGCGGAAATTTGGGTAGGTTCTACTTGTATTTAGATGCAAGGAGATAACAAATGAAGGGATAAAAGCGCTGAGAACGCTTTTAAATCTGCAAATTTTGACATTGAGATGGTGCTCTGCAATGACTGATGAATGTTTGCCGCATCTAGTCACCTTGGCTCGACTCCGTTTTCTCAGTCTAGCAGGTAAGTAGTTTCTTGAAGTAATATTGATGGTGATGTTTGCCAAGAGAATTTAAGCTAGTCGATTACTTTACATCGTTTCAGGGTGTAAGGCACTGACGGTCAAGGGACTACTCAATCTTACCTCCATGAAAAATCTCCAAAAGCTTGAAATCACTAACACCAACAAAGTTGACCAAAACAAGTTGTGTTTGGAGCAGCATATGCCAAATTGCAGTATCTTGGATTAGGAATGAATATTTTGGGTCCCTTAATTTAATAAAACAAAATTTCTGTAATCGCTTCAGACCATTTATGTGTAGTACACAAAAGAGATTTAGTCTTGGGAAAAGATATTTCATCTGTGAAAATATTAAGATCGTCTTTGCCGTTGTTAGAAAAACGTTTAAATGATTTAATTTTGCATTTAATATAAGACCGAAATAAATATGATATAATAGAATTCTTTGTAATAAGAGACTGTTATTGTAATGTAAGTTTTGGTAGTCTTTTGTGATAAATGTTACGAATTATACAGACCTGATTTTCCTCAGATAACACCTGTGGTTTGATAAGTAACTCTAAAAACAGATGAGAATGTAGAATTGCGCTGTAATGCCCTGAGATTTATCTGAAGACGATATTAGAAAACACTTGAGCAGGATGCATACATTTGCCGTACAGGAGGGATTGGGGCTAGTGGCACGGACCGCAAACCAGCCCACCAGACTTGAGTATAATGGTGGGGATTCGAAGCGGACCCTCTACCAAAGTCGTGGGTTAAATGAGCAGCCAACTAATTGCACAGCCCCTCTGTTTTTTTGAGGGGGATGACCTCATGCGTCAGCCATCAGAACGTAATCAGTGCTGTAAGGAAACACCCATGAGTTGACGGTACAAGTCATGGAATTACTATGCAGCTAAGAAGATACCTGACCGCAAAGTCGCTGATTCCTATCGGGAATTTGACTGGGTCTAGGGTTTTGTCCCCTACGGGAACGGGATTAAGGGATAGGAGAATATGCTGACCGTCACTCGTGCCTATAGCTAGAAACAGGAACACTGGCCCCAAAAGCTAGTGCCACCTTAGTTGTTATTGTCATTCTTGCAGACCACGGGCCTGGGGTAGCTGCCGAAGGTAGACGTCATCTTCAGCCCCTCTGTGCAGGCTCCTTACCGACTCCCTCATCTGTAGGATCTGCAATTCTTTCGTCCCACTGAGTTTTATCGCCCAACAGCAAAAATCAGGATGGAATTTGCTCTATGCTGTCACCAATGTAACGCCCTGAAACTGTCGTGAAGACGATTAAATGACATAAAAGTCAATAAGAATATGTAAGGATTTGATATACAGTGGGACCTGGAGCTAGGAGCATGACCCAGAGGCCAGCCGAACCGGTGAAGTTACGATAGCGACAACCCAAAGAAGCCCCTTCACCAAAACCGAGAGTTAAATAACTAACGTATTACATGCACCCTCATAAAATGAAAAATGAGGATTTAAGGAAATCTTAAATTTGCACAAACGTTTTTAAAACATGAGCTTTACTTTAGTTTTACCTGGGACGGCATTATGGATCCTAGGATGCTAAGATACTACTTAATGAAGGGGTGTAAACCGGCACTCGAGGGTACAGTTTTAAGCACTAGATAAAACCTGCACTCCGAAATAATCGAATTCATTCTTTTAGTGGGATTGCATCCATGAATTAATTTTTATATTTGCATGTGGTTCCTTATAATGGGTGCTAAGTGGGAAAATATTTAAATGCTCCAGTCTCCACTGGTTGAACTTCTGCTTGATGACTCGGCTCTACAGACATGGCTATGATCTCCACACATCCTCCTTATTTTACTTATTATAACTTAAAAAGGGAGGCCTGGAATAAAGCTGTCTTAAACTTGGTTCCAATCGCTAGGTGGCTAAGCGTATGGCGTACCGATTCCGCAAATAGCGATTGACAAAGGAAATGCAGTCAAGCGATAAGAAATTGATAATTCTTCCCCCTTGGAAGAGTAGGCGAATAAGTTGAACCTCAAGATGCAGTAGACTTGCGAAGATGTAGCGTTGACGTTGGGCTAGTGCATATACTGGTACATGTATTAATTCCGTGATTGACACATCTGATGCGTGGGAGGCTGAAAAGTGTCCACTAAGTCTCGTTTACGTCGTAAAAAGTAACGCTAGATAGTGCCATGAATGACGTTTGAGCAAGCGGAGTATTACGTGAAAATTTGATGCATTGATTAAATACGTGCTATTTAAACCGGGTTTTTCTAATTTCGTCCATTTTAATTACGTCTTCATCAATCGCTACTTTAAAGATCAAGGTAGCTAAGGTACCTCATTTCTTAGATCTCCAAGTATTGCATCTTAATATCCACACCATTTCCAATTTAAGTAAAACGTAGAAGCACGGTGATTTGATGGTTTGTTTAACTGTTCGTGCAACACTTCAGTCTCTGCAGCTTGCAATTCTGCTCCGCAGAATGGCCTTGTGGCCATGACATTAGCCTCCCAACTATCTGTACATTGGTGATTCAATGATTTGGCTAGCTACGGCTTTAGCCAAAACTCTAAGCAATGCAGTGGTGACAGCGGAAAGCAAACTCGGCTTTAAAGGACCAATAACCTCGGCTCTTTGACAAGACATTATGCCGCAATTTGGCAGTAGAAGGGCATCTGTTGAGAACGAAGGAATCTGCGAAGACTCCTGCCCTTGGTAAGTGTCCCAATCTCACTTTCTGCAAAAGGCTGTTAACAGCTAAAGTAACACCAAAGTTAAACCATAAGAAACTGCCTGTGGGATCTATATGAAAAGAAGGCGTCAGCTAGCAACACCTTGTATATGTCTCTACTAGCTGAATGGAACCCATATAGCTAGATGAGTTGGCAGCACTGGAGCAGAGACAAAGTGACCAGAAGGAGTAGATGCCAAGCATTAGCCCACAAAACTACATTGGATCTCGGATTTTAGCAAATAGTTTGCTTCTAGGTCACTGTTTTCGCGAATAGTATTAGCACAAAATATGCCCCGTTTGAACGACATTATCCTGTCTAGAGCGGTTGGAGTCCAGCATATTCCCCTTCTGCAATGTAGCACACAATCAGGACAAACTTCGGATACGATGGAAGAGGCGGTATACATTGGTGAATTTGGAAAAGAAAATGGAATGAATGGTAATGGGGATAAGTGGGTGATTCTTGAAGCGTCGACTACATCGTGATGACCAGGGAGAGCGCTAAGAATAAAGTTTAAAAAATGAGAGGCTGTTTCAGGTTGTACTATCAGTCTGTAAGGCGGTTAGAAACATTTCCTACAAATTCCAGCTCTTCTGTTCGCTAATAATAAACGTTCTCTTATACTATATGGGTTCGCTAGGACTTGATAAAAACTCTAAGAGGTTAATAAATTAGATATTCAAAAAAACTGGCAAGTAGAAGTTAGAAAGATCTGTTGCTTGTTGCAAAATAACACAAGGTAGCAATTCTGTTAAAAGTGTAAAGAGAAAAGGACTAGGTAAATCTATCAGTCGTCCCAGATATTTTTAATAAAAATAATTTACATGTAAGCCTTCTTTTACTCATAATTATTATTTGCAAAGGTTTTAATTACTAAAGGCCAAATTATTATTTTGTTTACATGCGTTGATGGAAGACGTGAAGGCCACCCCTCGTTGATTGCATTCATCTGCTTCGTGCCGGGAGGATTTCACGTGGGTGTTGGGTCCCTGGCCACTCACACTTCTAGATTGAATCCGTTTATATTACCGACATTACTCTTACTTGCATCGTTTTGTACCTTGACATTCGGATGACCACCTATCTAGCGAACATTGTTTGATTATTAAACTGTATAGGGATCCATGTTCGTTGTTGTTCCAATCACCGATGTTGTCATTATTAAACCGAAGAAATTTGGATCTGATATCGAAGAAGTTATTGCTCATGAGCTAAACTCCCGTTTTTCAAACAAGGTTGGGCAAATAGTTCCTTATAGAATGCCTTCTAGGTTTTGTATAAAGTTGGTCTGTGTATTTCCCTTTGGGATATCAAAAAAATAGGGGACATGTATATCTTACATGATAGCGGTTCATATCAAGTTGTTGGTAGCGCTCTTTTACCACAAATCAACTCTCCTAGTCTCATTCCGACTGATCTGTTTCCGTCCATCGATAGACGAAGTAATAATTGGAACAGTAAAAAACTGCACCCCGGACGGTTTGCATATATCTCTATACTTCTTTGACGACATATTCATTCCGGCAGACAAGCTAAGACACCCATCAAAATTGTAAGCTTCGTTACCTCAGGAATAAAGCTAACCACTTTCCTTAAGTGATTTTGAGCAGCAGTGTTGGATTTGGCAATACGAAGATGATGGTGAATCAGCCGATCTACGCATTGAGAAGAACGACACAATCAGGTGGAACTACTTAGCTTCGTGGTGGAATTCGTCACCAGCCTATCATCCCGCCTCTTACAATTCTTACACCCTTTATATTGCCCTAGATAATGCATCCGTACCCTATAGACATCTATTTGGCAATCATAACGGCAGCATCCATCGTGCCAGAATATAGCTTACGCGCTAAGCCAGTGTTCTGCTTCTAATTTTTTAGATTCCGAGTAGAACAGGAGGTCTGGCAAGATCCGAATCCAAATGGAGAAAAGCAAGACCAAAATCAGCCAGTATCTCCCTTTGGTAACAAATCCCCCTATGTCATCCTAGTAAGCCTCTCTCAGCTTTCAGCATCACTCAAGCGCCTCATTCAACTAAAGACACTTCTTCTTCATATTTCAGGGATCGATAGTCTCCGACGGGCTCGGTCTGACCTGTTGGTGGATCAACTAAACCCCCTCCCGATGATGACTATATGCGTACCTTAATAAACGAATCGTTAGACGTTTGGGTGGCATCGGACTTCAGATTTTGCATCTAAGGTTGGACGGCATGAGGTTGAGGTGGCAACAAGGATTCGCCCGAGCAGTATCGCGACATCCCCTAGTGGGTGCTCATAGGATAACCCCAAGGGACGTGATTCGACCGTTCTATCGCCCTCCTCGCGCCATGACCTTTCGCCCACGCCAGTACTTAGGCGTGTTAAAAATAACCCATTAATTCATACCAATATGCTCTGCCACTTATTCGAAGATGACTCCGAGTTCAGCGACGTGAGGCATGTAGATACGCAGATTCATTCTCCAGGGCGCTGGGCTACTTATCTCATGTTAGATGCGGCAGGATTCGTGCACCAGAACGAATATCAATAGACGTCGGGTTAAATCATAGAAACGGAGAACTTAAGGCCATGGGCAAAAGCTGGCAGAGGATTCACACAAAACAGCAAATTCAGACAAAATAACGTTTAGCTCAGTACAATTTACAGATTTACAAGGATAGGAGAACTACGTAATGTGCATACCCAACTAACGCTGCTGTTGTTGTTGTTGCAATTGCTTTGGATTGCTCAAACCTCCATCCTCCACTTTGCGAATTGCGTTCTGCTTATTGCTGTACTTGTACCCACCACGCTGATTTCCACGATAATGAACACCGCTGCCCCTACGACCCCTATAGCCACCTCGAAAAGCGGCTCCTATGCGATTGGCGGCTGGGCCGAAGGTGTCAAAGTTTTGCTTTCTATCTTCGCGATGGGAACGACTATTCACAACGCTAAAGGCAACGTATAAGACGACAAGTCAACTAATTTAGCAAACCCATGAGCCCTATCCATCAGTTCCGAACTTAGGGTATCAAAGAAGGATTTGCTACTGTCATAGGTGTCGGAATTCTCATGCGCAGCCTCCTCACCATGTTCAGGCTCAGTGTTGCCGTGCTAAATGATCACGATTAGCCATAAGAACTAGATAGACTCACGGGGGATATTTCAACTTTTTCAAGAAACTCCGCCAACTCGGCATTGGGTTTGTCAAAGTCGTAATCCTCCTTGAAATTCACGTCTTCAGACCGCTGTTTATTGACGTGATCATAGTGTCGTTGTCTTTGGTTATAACCGCGGCGAGAATTTGAGTATTGGTTTGCACTTGAAGCTCCTCGAGGTCGATTCTCCCCATGGCCACCGTCGTTACGTCCGCCGTAACGTTGGTAATTCGAATAATTAGGTCGAAAGCCGCGGCCACTAGATCTATTCTGCGTATCCCTACGCCCCTCACCATTTTGAACGGACATTGGAACATTTTTCGACGTGTCTTTGGATTCGGAGTCCTCATTACTGGGAGTCACAGTAGCGCCAACGGCAGCACCAGTAGACTGGTCATTTTCAGCAGCACCCAAAGCACCCAGATTGCCCCAAGGAGTTGCTGGAATATCAGCTAGCAGATCAGCCGGTGGCTTAGGGGTCATAAAGTTTGGAAAAGACGATATTGACGAACTCTCCGGCTGTGAAAAGAAGTTGGATGTACTTGGAGCATCGCCACTTCCCTGCGGTTCCGATTTAGATAGTGGACCAGGCTGAATCGGAACATTTAAAACAATTATAAAAGGACCGCACCTCGAGTTCTGCACTGATGATTGAAGGATCGTCACCAACACGAGGGGTTGGTAACAGCTGCAAATCAACCAATTCTCTGCCGCGAAAAGCGATGTGCTCGTAGACCTCGCTAAGTGGTTTCACTGGGTGCTCACAAGGTCTATCTTCTGTGCCGTATGATGTAACTGAACCGAATCAGCATAGAACACCTGTCCATACCTTTGGAGAGGACAAGAACGAGATCATTGTTTTCATCTTTCCGAATAGAAAAGAGAGTTCCTTCATAACGGATCTGAGCCTTGGAAATAATTCGGATACGATGCCCAACTAACGAGAACTCAAGCAATGACATGATAAAGAAAAGGTCAGTCGAACGACCGTCGAGGAATGATCACCACAAAAAGTCCAAGGACCAATATTATTGGAAATGAACAGTAGTGAAATATGTTGGTGTAGCAAAACAAAGAGCTATGGAAAGAATTGGCTATAAGTGAACCGTAATGTCAACTTTCCCAGTTCTTTCAGTATCCGCAAAAAGGCGATAAATATAGAAAATTTATTTTGCAACACATAGTGGTCATTTCAAATGTAATTGCAACTTCCACGTAATTATTTATGTTAAGGGTTTGTTTCTCATCTGTGACTAGTAAAGTTGCAAATCGCTCTTGCCAAAGCCTGTTAAGAATTCTACGGCCTCAAAAAAGAGTTGCCTGTAATTTTATGGGTTTTCCAATTTGCTAATGTATTACATTGGCTGTTTAACTCTCAACTTTGGTATAAGGATCCCCTCAGATGTTCACTATTGTGCCCTGCCAGAAAGACTAATCTTTGGACTATGCCAGTAGCCTCATTCCCCCTGTAAGGTGAACGGACATATTCTGTCTGCGGGTCACGTCTCCTTTTGTCTTAAGGGAAGCCTCAAGGCAAACCGCTGAAACATGTTTTGTTTAAACTACCATCAAACCCTTCCGCTTAATGCTAATGTTTTAGCCAAATGGTGATTAATGAATTCATCATGGTTTGGAAGTTAAGGTAGTACAATCGTAACATAAAGTGTGATCCGACCTTTATATACATCCCCTACCTATTTAGTTTTTCCCCAAATCTTCTTCATCTGTAAGATAAAAATACGTTTGGCTCTAACACAATGCCGTAAAATATAGCAACACGGCGCACAATATCTCAGAGTTAAAAATAAACATGAAGTTAACAGTCTCTGCCTGTAACCTTTACTTAATAACAAACAAGTGTAGGTTTTATTCAGGCTGCATTATGAATTTTTTTTAAAAAACCAGAAAATGGTAAACTGTGCACAAATAGATGCAGTTGTAGTTAAAGCTTACGCTTTTCAAATGTCCCCATTAATTGATATTGAAGCATCGTTTTGTTATTAATATTCCGTCTATTTTATGACTGATAAAAACCATAAATATATGTACAACCGCCGAAAACAACAAAGAACACACATAATATTTAGGATAATTGCAATATTTAATGCATTTTATAGGGCTTTAAAAAATAGGGGTAATTTAATTGTTTCTTTACTCTTCTTGGAACCCGTACTTTCAACATTGTCGTTTCGTTGGGTGTATATCAGCCTTAGATCTCCACACGTTTTTTAATTAAGCCAGTCGTGCTTTCTCAGTTTGCTTCCTCACAATATTATGCAGTCCTGTAATCTATGCAAACCAGGAGAATCCGATAATCAGGATTGTTGGATCCTTGCCTGTCGATGCAACGAGGATTTTTCATCAGGTGCGCATTTTCTTTTTGTCCTGATTATCATTAGCCCATGAATGGCAGTGGGCACAACCTGAGGACGACAGAAGGTCTTGCACATTATTTGAAAATAATAAGTCAGTTGTATTTCATCCGCGAAGCAGTCTAGGTACAGCTGTTGTCCGAGGCTCTGAACTTCTTAGCTCCGGTATTCATTATTGGGAGTTGAAAGTTATTTCCCCAGTCTACGGTACAGATATGGTATGCTAGTTCCATAAGTGTCCGTGATTTGCTTCCTAGATGTTTGGTATTGGCTTAGCAGATGTTTGCTTGACCACGTATCGTTCACGTTTCGTGCCTTTCCTGGGTTTGGATAATAAAACCTGGGGTCTTGGTTACCGGGGCCAGTTACAGCATAATAAGCACTTCATACACCCTTACGGAGCGTCTTTTACTCGGGGAGACCTTGTTGGCTGCCTTCTTGATCTCTGGCACAGAAAACTTACCTTCTTTGTTAATAGGATGGCCATCACCGATCCAATGTAGTTGCTGGAAAATTTGTTTATCTTTTGCAGTCCACTCCCATTAGGTTCGTACTATCCTATGGCCTGTTCTACGGCTGCTCGCAGCGGTTTCAGGATAATATTTTCAAAATCCTACGATATTAGCCTTCAACTGTTAACCTTGCTCTCCCTTAAGACAGCCTTAGGTAGTCTGTCCACAATATTCGATCTACCTGCCTTTCCTCCCAGTCTTCTAGTAAGTCTCTCTTCCCGCGGTTATTTTTGCTTCGAAAAACAGTCCTTTTATCAAAACAGCACACCCTGGGTATTCCACAAGTCGCACAAGCGACAGCGCATAGAGTCCCATCTCTTTCCCGAAATGAAATTTAAGCTGCGTCGCCTTTCTGATGTAAGTATTTATACGCATTTCATCTTACTCTCAGGTTGGTCAGCAATGCTTGGATGAGTAATTTTGAATAAAATTATTATTTCCATATACATTCGCCTTTTTTCTTCTGCACGTTTGCATGTCTTTATGAGGATTGACATGCATGCATCTCTCGGGCCCGGGTCCGATCAGATGAAAAGGTTTCTGTAGTTCTAGGTCAGATTACTCATGCATAGTGGGCGACCGTCATCCGGTGATCGCGCTCGAATTCGACGCGCCATGCATACCTCTCGTCGACAAACCACCGAGGTGGGCTACATATCTCCCCTTCCTTTGTCGTCATCAACACCTCCTTCAAGCTCTCCTGCGGATCCTCTCAGAAGTCAAAGTCAACCCCCTTCTAGCGACGCGTCAGCTCAAGTATGTGGAATTGGTCTTATCTCCATTTTCATAAATTTTCTTCAGGGTGGATTATCCAGACAACGCAGCGGTGAAGGTCTCCTTCACACCGAATCGACGAGCTACATGAATGCGCGTGTGTCTACAGTGGCGGCACCAGCTTCACCTTGCGCCATTAGCACCGGTGGTGGTGCCAGCCACTTGCGAGCGCGCTATCGATCCGCCTCTTCGATATCCTCCACCTCCGGCCAGCGACGCTCAACCGATTTCGGTGTTGGGGGAGCTGGGAGCCTCCTGGGTAGTGAGGACTCTTCCGCCTCCGAATTCCATCCCATCGCACCCCGGGATAATGGCAGTGGCGGAATGGAAGGTGGAGCGTTGCGACGCAGCGAGGGTATCGGAGGTACTGGTCCGCTTCTCTCTTCCCTCGCCATCCGTACTCGACACGCATCAGCCGAAGCACCGCCTTCACCACCACCAGAATCACCCATCGTCTTTCGTCTGCGACAGGAAAGTGCCGCTGCTTTGAATCCTCTAGCCGCCGCCAAAAAATCCATTGCCGTAGTAAGTGAATAATTGGATCATTTAATTTTGGATCTATTTTTAATAATTCTGGTCCTTTTGCGTCTTCGCTTACGGGGAGGCTAGGCATATAAAAGAAGGGAACGAGATTGAGAAATTGGAAACTTTATACATTTCCCCAAACATGCTTTTCTACCGTTGCATTTATCGCAGCATTTATTTGTTGCCTAAAGGCCTAAGTATATAAATTTTCTCAGCACCTTCGAATCGTCCTGGGACAGCTTGCTTCGCTTCATCATCAATGCCGAAATAGTGTTGTATCTTCATTCTTGCTGTTTTGGTGATCATTTCGATCTCAGAGTGAGGGCACGTACTCCGACTTCTTCAAATGTAATAATGCGATTCAACTCAGCGTGGTATTCCACTCTTCTATGCTGGCACACCAAATTATAAGCATTACAAATTTTCGAGATCGTGAATGCTTGTGCTATACCCATCGTAATCACTATCAGATTCGTTCGTCTCTTGTATATTCACAGGAATGCGTTCTACGACATGAGCCTTGGGCCAACGGAGTCATCACGTCCAGTATCACTACAGAGCCGCTGGACGCTGCTACCATCATTACTGTGTAAAACCCTCTTTACGAGCACTTCGTTGATGGGGAAATTGCTTCATCACCAAGTCTTGTTGCATGTTTGTGCTACTGCCACTACCTGCCGTCTCATTTTATGAACGGTGTCCGGATTGGACTGTGCTAGATTACCCCGCGGCCATTATTGGTAGTGCTGGTACTTGCTACTTTGTGCAGTTCAGCCGTAACAGCATCTCTTCTATCGCGAACGTATGTAATTAAAAGTTCTGGTTGAATTTGAACATCCAACGTAGTTTTCCTCTAGTGATGTGACTCGTCTAATTATTCATGGCGCAGCTGACTCAACGATGGTGTTATTGCTTACATACTTCAAAGGGATTTCCTCTTAGTCCTTGTTTTCTCATTTCTCTTTTCACAAGCTGCCTTGATGAGATTTGTTGTTAAGGTGTTGCCCGAGGCTGGATGATATTCTACGGCCAAAACATTTGAAGTTTAAAACAATTTTCCTGGATTCATTTAGCCGGATTAAGAACATTTAATGAAATGCACATCGTGGCGTTTCTCCGTGCATGCTCCTAGTTTCATTCATTCTTTGACTTCATTTTAGAGGTGATGCAGCAACATGTTCTACATTTGGTTCATGCGAGTTGCTGAAACACGTGGAAAATCTATCACTCCATGCAGGACCCAGTAACTGTCTCGATTATCTAACCGCGGGCTACTACATTAGTCCTACAGAATTGATTCAAGGGTCACCATTTTCCGTTCAACATTTGCAAAAGTAAATTGCGTTTGAGGTTGTGAAGCGTCAATTTGTGTTTTTAGACACGATCTGCGTCGTTATCACTAACTATAGTGTGTTGGTTGGTCAAACGGTTGGCTATAAATGAAACAATTTCGCAATTAAGTAAGTGAAATTGTTTTTTTTTGGTCATTTGACAGAATCATGATCCCGAATCCGACCACGACTTGTACCCCAGTGAGGGCTCTCGTTTGCCCTTTCGTGGTGAGGATCAAATGCAGCGTGTCTTCCGCAACCTGAACGAGATGAGACGGTGAGTGATATCCCACCCTTTTTGTCATCCAAACATTGGTGCACAAAGCTGGCTGAATTTTTTGCCAATAACTACTTGAAAATAAGTTCTTTTATTTGAAAATAATGTAATTTACATGGATCCGCTTTCTTCCACCATAACCGCGTTTAGTTCTTCACCTCTGATCTTTCAACAACGGGCTTACTTGTAGTCAGGTCTGACGCCATCTATCAAATGTCCATCTTGGGTCCGTTTACTCATTCATACCATCTCCATCTATTCATTCGACCATCAGTCTGTTGCACCCCTTTGTAAATTGATCAGCCATTTCTCTCTCCAGTTATGCAACCAACTGTTCATCCATCAATCTACTTCCGATCCATCAACTCATCCATTTAACTGTCAATTGGGCGGTGGGTTGTTAGAGAAGTGGCCCATGACATGCAAAAGTGGGGTATTTTTATAAGATAGTAAAAGTTAAGATTAAGTTGGGGTCATGCATTCTTATAGTGCCTATCAACGAGTTACAATTGCCCATTATAGCAAGCTCAACTAAAAACCGAACCGCATTTTTTGTCACATGATACAAGTTCCTTTCATGAGAAAAAATTTTGAATTGCTCTTTTTCTAAATGACTCAAATGGAGTTAGTAGGAGGAGCTTAGTAAGCATTTAAATAGCAGGAAATTAAATGCTATCTTCCTTCTTTTTTTCAAGATTTGCAACTGTTTTGCCCCAGATCCCGCAAGGATGTATTGGATGGCCTAAGATGATTTTTTCAGCTATCAACTCTAGCCGCTGTCGAGTTAGACAACTATTGTAAAGGTTAATCGACTTTGCCGCTAACTCAACCTACTGTGTATTTATTCCTTGGCTAATCACAAACACTCTCTACCGCTCCCAGAATTCGCTTTTTCTGTGTTATTCTCTCGCTTCTAATGTTATTAACACTGGCATGAATAACAGATTTTAATGTTTTGGTGCAGTCCGAATGGAAGGGATGCGATTCCGATACGATTTTTGAATGAAAAGTAGTGATTGAAAAAACCTACCCTGTTTTTTTGTTAAAAGGGACCATGTCATTGGCACTACTTGAGAGGTATTCAAGAAATATCATTTCACGCTGCAAATCTCCCACATCCACCCTTTGCACACGTCATTATTTACCGCAACCAAACTTTCTGTTGCGTCCCGGTTGTCTTTGAGAGCCTTATCAAGCATCCTAGATTGA